GTTGGAGCTTTGGTTGCAGCTACAAGATACGACATATAGCATTATATCATCTTTTCTAAGCTTTTTCACTTTCAGAAGTTTATCGTGAGTCATCAAAGAGTTTTTACAAAGAACCTTCGAGGACAAATTCTTTAAATATTTGGCTGGTACATGGTGGTTTGCTTGACATGCAAATTGCACATGATGATAATAGAAGCGCTTTGAAAGAACAAACGTCTGGTATAAAGTAGACACCTGTTCGTTCAAGACCATGTACTGATATGCACTTATGCCACCGTATGGTTAAATTAAGCCTTTAGAAATCTATATAATGTCTTATCCCAAACTAAGGCATTGACATTTATATTTAGACCACTAATGCCTCAAGAAAGATCGTCGAGCATGTCAAATCAACCCTTATTATTCGTTCTGTAGAATATAATTTATGCTTCAATAAATAGATATGAAATCGCGCCGACCTGCTCCGCAACATCGCTGTTCGCCGCAGTATGCATTTGGTTAAAAAGACTTTGTAAAGGTCTATATTTTATTTGTAACTAAAGCTTATAAGGCGCAATCCTTGCTGCGATGCGCAACATTTGTTTCCATACCTAGATTTAATCGAGCTTTTTTGCATGACAATGTTGCTTGACATATTACAGCTAAAAATACATGTAGCATAGACGATACGCTTTAAAGCTATGCAAGTATAGAACTTCCATCATTTTATTACGTTCACTTATGCTTATAATTTGTTGTTGATAAGTCTAAGTTTATCACGATGCTATTTGTTATCGGAATAAACATCAAATTTTACTCGAAATAAGGTTTCAGCTATTGATCTGAATACATTTGGCACTAGCAATGACATTACATCCGTTTACGTCGTACCTTCTGCAATATTTTAACGTGCCCATTCTGCGTGCATGATATATATATATGTATATGTGAATGTAATAGATGTTGCTCAATACATATATTTTTATCGAGATCTCAGCCCGTGATATCTTTTTGAAAACCACAATAATTAATTCCTAAATTTACATACAATAACTTTTTTAGCGATACATTTCGTACAGGCTAGTCAGCACCTTTCAAGTTGTAAGCTGTACAAATCGAAAAAAAGTCCCTAATTAATATATTTGCAAAATGTATTACTAAATTGTCAATCCAAACTATCTCAATTTTTCACCAAAACTTATTTTACTTTCGTAGAAACTAATGAAGTGTTGAGCACACTTGGCATCACAAACCGTATTTTAGCTTGTCTCATACCAGTGGTATCTCATTATCAACCCGTTCATGTTGCAACAATAATATTTTTTAACTTAAAAAGCTTATGCAGGATGAGATGAAATTGTTTGTATAAATCGGTACAGCGAATAATGCATATGTGTAACACATTTGTTGTCCTAACAAACAGCCGAATTACTTTGACTGCTAAACTTCCCCAAAACAAACATTCCTTCTTCTACTGTATTTTTATACACAATAGTCGATCTACTTTTGCTTCTCAATGTTCTGAGAGTAAAATAAACTTAAGATGGATATTAATCCTTTTTCTTGTATTTGGCGTGATCCTCTAGTGATGCTTTCTTTATTTTGTCTTCTATGCATGAACAATTTTGTAATTTATTGAGTAATAATGTGTGTGTATAAACTTTAAATATGTTAAGCTTGATGAATAATTTTTTGTTTAGACTATGACTCCCGCTTATTGACCATTAAGCTGCGATTTATAGTGGCTAATTACAACCCCATTGGAAGTTCATTTTATTATTAAATATAACGTGTTACAGTACTTGATGCCGAAATTTTTACCAGGTGAATGCGAACATGGTATTGACGTTAAAAATGAATACCGAATTGATAATATTAAACGTAGGCATATTGCGCATTTAAATTCATAGCACTACGGAATAAGTGTTTCTTCTTATTAATAAGGTGGTGCATTTGATAAAAACATATTGGAAGCTTTAACTATAATTATTGGATCTATGACATTATAAATATAAGAACAGACTTACTCCAATGACCAGAGTGACTTGATTGTTAACAAGCAATTAGTTTTTATTGCCGCATCATCTAAGCTACCGGCGGTATGTTTATAGTTATTAGATTGCCTGCTTTCTCACGCTGTCAAGTTTAGATGAAAGCAAATGAAAAGTACCGAATAGCGTTTCTACTCTACCGGATATTATCATGATGCTATTTGATGGCACAAATAAAATACGTCGTCTTCCGGAAATGAAGATAGTCGCATTACAAAATATACAATCAAATTTGTTTATTTGTCAAATCCAGGGATTTAGCCTCTTTGACCATGTCGAAAAAATCACATTCGTGGAAAGTTTATAACAAGCAGTCCTTAACCGTCACATAAACATTGCTCACCAAACACTTTCCATAGGTGCCCAATACCAAAAATTAGATAAATAATCGATCCGTATAATGGTGTTGAATGGCGTTTAATGGTATCAATTATGTTTTTGACGATTTGCTTGTATGGCTAGTATCATCTCGTGCTTAAAATATCAAAAATTAAATTTTGAGGCTCGCTATTTGCTTGACAGATACTTAGAAGTAGGTTTTTGCCTTGCCTTCTCATACGCTGGTAGATGGGAGTATGAATTAATTTTTTCTAAAGCTATTACAAATCACCTTAAGTTTCACATATTATTAGAACAGTTTCTTTGTGGAAGCGTAGTTATTCGTCGAAAAAGGGGTTTGTGCTCCGACAAATGATAGAGGTTCTGTCCATTGTCGAAATGTGTGATAACGCAATCCTTCGGCCTGTGCATACAAACAGTTTAAATCATCCGGCGTGTTTATTAAGAAATATCAAATGGTGAATTTAATATCGTATGACCAATAAAATAAGACACACAGTAAACTTCACTTTATGGGATTAGTCAAAATAGCGAAAAAACGTTCACGATGTGTATAATTAAAACACCAGGGTGTGCGTCGTCCCACGGAAGAATGTAGACTTTTTTCTGACAAACCACGAAGCATTTATTATAAGCCAAACGCATATCATATTCAACCCTTTTCTGCTTTGTAATATATATATATATTAAGTTTTAGACTTAAGAAACGAACGTATTCTATCAAATTCAAAAAACAATTTACTGTCGTGGTGGATCGCTGTGCCATTGTTGTCGAAAAAGTTGACATAATTATTGCCTTGATCGTTTCACTTATCACTACGATTCCGGTGCAAAATTTACCTTGGCTCTTATTCGAGGAACGTGGCTCAAAATCGTTCGGCCAGTGGACTGATGTGTGTTGACGAGAGTACAAGCATCAAGATCATATTGATCGTTATAATCGCATCAACTGTGTCGACGTCAAAATCAGCATCACGATTACCAAAGACGTCGCGTCGGTCAGTCTGGCTGCACTTTTGCGAACACAGAAACCTAGATTCTACCTGCGACTATAAATTATTCAAATGGGAAGTAGTCACCACGTTATTTTTTCACGCTGGGAACCACGTCAATCTTGTCACGTTATTCATACTTTGTTGCACCATTTTAATGAAAAACATATAGGTTGCACACCAACACACCCAAGTGTACGAGCCTAAATTTATCGTCATTACCTACACGAGGCGAAGAACAACGTCAAATGTCAATCTTATAACATTTCGGTTAAAAGTGGCCTGCATTTGATAAAAGCACACTTAACGCTTCTTCACTAGTGCGTGCCAATGCGATCTGCGCAGCTTCTGACTCGCGCCGAATGCGGCTCTCCGTTTGCATGCGAGTCAAAAAGTGGAATGTCGGGGTTGGAACAAAGGCTTTATTCTTCAAAACCCCTCCTGTTCATCTTTTTGAAAAAATGGTCTCCATTCTCATACTAAGTTGAGGGGCCGAATGATGTATCGGGTAATCCCTGTCGGGAGTATGAACGCTGATCTTTTATAACGTAGCCGATAATGTAGAAAATGGTGGTTCAGATTATCTTTGAGGTTCCGCCTATAGATGAAAAAGCTCGCGCGTGTGATTATCTCGATCGATATCAAAGCTTTGAGCTCATACGGTTTGACACGTCCATCAGCCGACCAAGCGATTTTCAGGGACAGAATACAGCAAAAGAATGCTGCGAATCAGTACCTAGCGTTTATATTCATGATAGTTATATTCCTGTTTTACTTTCGCCTCAAGATCGACTTGCAACACAAATACACACCTTGGAAAGGACATCGGTCGTCATTTGATCATTTGATGCGTATAATATTGTGAAACCTTACGTTGCAGCAATTAACAAATCACTTATAACAATATTGCTATATAGTTGAAATGCCTTTAAATATAACAGTAGCCTGTAAAAACACAACATACTGTAAATCGGCTTTGATAAGCTATAACGCCGACAGATAAATCAATCACAACGCCAAATGATGTGATAAGTGGTAAGCAAGATTCTAACATGCGCCTTGGTGATTGATCTCGCGAACAGAATGTTAAGAAAAAATAATTGTTGATACTTAACTGCAATGATTACAGTGAGTGTTAGGTTCCATTCGATGTGCAAGTCTTGTTCAGTTAAATTCGCTTCCTTTGCACACAATCCCGTGCGTGACGATCTGACAGACTCCATTGATTCTGTCATATGACCAAGTGGCTCAGACTGTCAATAGTAACAGCGTGTGGGACGCCTATGCAGTAGGCCCGCACCGGATTTTTTTGTTCTCTACACTTTATGGCATGTGTTTTTATGTACAAGTTGTGGACTTCATACATTCTCATTCAAAGAATCCGATATACGGCCGTGATGCTCTAAAGCTACCTTGCCGTATTGTACAACTGACACTTGTACTCGCAGGAAGTGAATAAGACAATATGGACACTCAATTACACTAACTTAATTATATCTAGTGTTTCCTACTGCCAACTGCTGCTGCTGCTGCTCTGCCATATCGTCATTCTGCTAGGACTCGTGATGTTACTAGGACATTTATGCTTAAAAGACTGAAAATGCTAATGAGCACATAACGCAGCCGCAACGAATATACATTACGAATGTCCTCCTGCGGTTTCGATGCTAAGTTTCCAGAGATCGTATCGGCGTGCAATTTCTTTCGCTCGCTCTTCGTCGACATGTCCTACTTCATTCGCCAATCTGTCCGTGAGAACCCTCGTATCGTCGTACTTGCTTCTCCACTGACCAAACAACCAGTCTAGGCTATTTGCAGCAGCCGTTTTGTCCGTGTCAGTATTCGGCTCCAGCGCCTGCAAGATTCCGTCGGCGAATGCGCCATCACCGTAGAAGGTTCTTGCATCTTTCAGATCTCCTTTCAGCATCAATTCCTTCACAACGTAGCTGCATTCAGGCTGAAATAGCTGCACGGGCTGGAGCTTGAACACCTCCATCGCACGAAACTTATCCAAATCCTTCATACCATAAACGATTAGCTTCTCCATCATCGCCTCCTCATTTTTCAAGCGGTGGAGCTTCTCCGAATTGATCAGACCTGCGTCAGCTGTACCGTGATCGACCTCCGAGAGCGTCTTGAATAGATTATACTTGGTCTTGTAGGTGTAATTAAACTCGTTGATGTAGCCTTGCAGGATAATTAATCTTGCGTGTGGTGCGCAGTTTTTGTTTCGAATCTCAAGTAGCTGGAAGACTTTGCTTGGCGAAAATTCGTTTAAAAGCCACTCTTTCATCTGACCATTCAACAAGTCGGCGGCCACGTACGTCCGAGAATTAAATCTCGTGTTCCCAATTTCGAACAGTGCCTCTGCCGTAGCAGCTACACCAAATCTCATCGAGAGTTCGTGCATGAAGTTGCTTGTATACAGAGAAAATGTGCTTCTCGCCCCGTGGAAGAACGCCATGGCCAATAGATCGTCTTCCGGAATGGTTCGAAAGAAGTTTTTGGCGGGCGCGTATAAAAATTTCGAAGGAGGTGCGTCAACAAATTGTTTCATGAAGTCTGCGTAGATTTCAGGATTCGAATGCCAATCAAATGCTTTGCGTATGATATGAAGCCCGAAACTTTGGACGCTTTCCATCAACTCTGAGTTCAGTACCCTCGGCTCTTGATCCGTCATCCCATTCGCCCCTTGATGCAGTTGGACGGCAGACACGCTTTTGGAGTGGTTGGTTGCGGGGCGAGGTCCTACAGGGGCGTTGGTCTTCGTCGCTTCCGAGCTAGCATGCTCGGAGCAATGCGTGATGCATGATAGCAACGCATTGGACACCAACAGCACGGCGAGGGCGAATCGCATGGGCGTTTGACGTCAACGATGTTCCTCAGGGTGGTTGGGGATAATGTGAGATGACTGGCTGTGAAGAAAAGAGAATCACCGGCTTTTGTGTTACTCAGACGCAACCGTACGTTTAAATCGACTTTCATTGGCTAGCCGCAAGCTGTTTTCTGCCGCAACCGTCGATTTTTGTTGTGCTAGGTCTTCCTATATTAGGATTTCAGGCACCTGCCATGTATCTGGCCAGCGTATGTACCTATCTTTATATTACAAAAAATACGTAAATTACAATATATTTTGCACATTTTTAGTTGCATTCATGCTAACAAGATATCCTTCATCATGCTGACGTCCCAGGCGACGAGATCCCGGGCACTCCCGTAAAAGATTGCAGGCCTATCACTCCTAAGGATACATGTGGGCTATATATAGGTGTACATTTGCTGAAGCGACGATTGTTTTTGCACAGTTCGAAATTGTGGCGTCGCTATGAATTGTGGCATCAGTACTAGTTTTTTCTTACTGAATTCAATGAATGGATCAATGGATTGTCATGCTAGTTGTGGACATTTTTGCTGTATCAGATGGATTATCTATTGATGCTATATGTATCTTCTTCCGACATGGGGTCTACGAATTATCTTACAATTCGCTGTCAAATGCGGCGCCTACTGGGGGTGTTCGAGGATACTTCTTTCTATGAATTCAGTCGATACAGCAAAGGTGCTAGCTGTCTGGGTAAATGCGTTTATAACCAATATACATATAAAATGCATGCACAGTTGACATATGTCATGTCAGGAAGGTAAGCTAACTAATTCACAGCTCAAGAACATACTGTCTATTGTGTCGGTTGCAAGTATCTAATGCAACGTTATGGGATGTTTATAAGCATCTATCCAAACATATTGGGATGCATCGAATAAGCAGCAGGCGCCACAGTAATATGTTGGTCAGATCGATCCGACTGAGATATAGTTCAAAGGGCAGCTAGTGTTCACCTGTTAAAATATGACCTCGTTCTTCTCTCTTCTTCACCTGTTCTAAAATCTCGACTTCGGTCAACTTCGGATGTGCACAAATCTCTTACATTGGGATGCAGTAGATTCACTTTTACATTAATATTTACACACGATTGTGCTAAAACTCACTTTCTAGCCCTAATGTAGCCGTTTTCAGCAACTCCTTCGTACTTTATTCGTTCATCGCCATCTTCAAATCAGTTTGAGAAACACAGGAAGCTGTAGACAGCCACATGTAGTTAAAGCAATATACAAAACCGATGGCAGATTTCGGTCCGGGCAGATGTATGCTAGCGAACGGAAGTAAATTTGCTAGCTTTGTAAACATTGCTGACAGCATCATGCTCATCGCAATCGATTGAAACTGCAGACGGAGACCGGTAGCACTACTTGAATGCCAATATGGTGGAGAAATGCGCGAGATGATCGCAGGCGTAATTGTATTGATAGTAGCTGACCTTTAACATCCAATACTTGAGGCCGTTTGTGATATATGAGGGAGCTTGGTCAATTATAACCAGATTATCCTACAGATCCCGAAAGTTAGCCCACTAGGCCACCGTCAGGCTAAGCGTCCGTCAATTCACAATTTGCAAGATGACGCTGACTATTGTCATATCAAGCTCACAAAGGGCAATTGCACGGCTGATTCAAGGGTGTTTACGAATGCTATTGTTAAGCAATCTGCACATCGTCGCGCTCTCCCAGATTTGTTGTTTAGCGAGCCATCTTTTGTCACCGACACTGATTTTAAAGTGATGTCACGCATGCAGGGGCAAGCTACCATTGGACCTCATAATTCGCTGATACACACAAGAACCCTAATTACAGCGATAACTCACACTTCATTAGTAATGTCGTAGCCCCAATGGTGTGTGAAAGCAATTCACCCTTCAACAAACAAGCTTGGTTTAATCTACGAGCGCTTAAACGGCCAGGAATCGGAACGTGAGCCAACTAGAGCCTCGCACTAGAACTAGATCTACACTTCTTCGGAGGCGTGCAAAGTAGATAACGTGGCAAAGATGAGAGTCTGTGTAAAATTTAAGGTCGAGTATTTGTTTGCGCCACCGAGCGACAATGTAGCTATAATTGCTGTGAAAAGTCGATGACGAGTTGTCTCCTTTCCACCTGTTAGAAAACACGCCTAATAGTAGCTATTCAGCTGCGAAAAATGTTATCGGCAAAATTGTGTAAAGCAAAAAATTAGACCTAAATCTCAGTTCTGGCTTTTGCCGCGCACGCGGGATATTATAGAAGAGCTAAGAGTTTGTGGAGTTCAATTTCTACAAAAATCAATCTCTTCGCTCTACTGCAAGCGCCTGTCGCATCGACATGCGATAAGACTGACGTCAGGTTAGAACACTTGTCATGCCAGGCTTTTTAGACGTTGTGCGTTTTATTAACAAAAGTCGCAACGAAGGGTGCACGACCAAAACCATGGATGGACCTGAACAAAGCTCGCTTTTGGAGATAGTCGAGTGTCTACATACTAAGCACAAATATGGCTGCACGACAGATGAAATGGATGGTGCGACACTTGCAGGAGGCTTTGCCGATTGTCACTTTCTTGCATACAAATCGAATAGATGGATGCACAACAAAAGTAATCGATGGTGCGGCATGACAAGGTCACCTTGACCTTGTCAGATTTTATTGACTAAGCGCTCAGAGGGATGCACATTCCAAGATATTGACTACCCTGTCAAAACGGCTATCTTGAGACTGTGCGGGTCTTACATGAACAAGGACGTGCGCTGTGCTCTACCGCGTCAATGGGTGCTACTGCAAGTAGTGGACATTGGAAGTTGTACAATATTTGCACGAAAATCGGGTCGAGGGCTACTTAAGATGCCATGACACATGAAGCTATTAATGGGCATTCATAAGTGGTTTGTTTTCTTACAATCAGAGATAGGAGGGTCCGCATGGATTAGCTATTGGGCGCGCTGCTGGAATCGGTAGTTTTGATTGTGTGGATGACTTATTGCGCTATACGAATCGTGGCTGTCTTTTGGAGGCGCGCTCGGCCGCTGTACAGGCTGGTAAAATACATGTGGCCAAACAGCTGTAATTGTGAAAACATCCAGACGTTTGTAGGTGCTCGTCGATGATGTTTCACGTACTTCCAGCGTAACGGGGCACGACCTTGTCAGATGACTGGCAAGACTCTGTGTTGACTGAACACAAGGTTGCGTGCAACCGACTTCACGTACACGTGGCGAGGAAGCGCAGCAAAGTAAACAGAACCCGAAAGCTCTGTCTAGGGCAAAAGTAAAACTGTTATTTAATATAGTTATGTTTCTTTGTCAATATTCTTTGTCTTGGTCTAACTATATTTGACCACCATCTCCAATGTGTTTTTTTGCCCACCACCCATTGCGCGCGTCCAGCAGCGATTGGTGATTGATTTGGTTGATGTTGATGCTACATCAACCAAAAGTGAAGAATTCAAGAATATTATCCTCGGGGGTAATATTCCGCCAACATCACCTCGTCTCGATTGATGTCGATTAAATATTATCTATATCGATAATATCAAAAAATTGATACCTTTGTACCAATATTATGTAATGATATGAGCCCGTTACATCACCCCCCCTTTATCAACAGTCACCACAGTAAGTAATTTATATTAGTTGGTGTTTGAGAGATCATCGTTTGGTGGCTCTGTGGGAAATGGAGCAATTGTTAGTTTTGCCCCAATTATCCCAGCTTCAGTGCATGACGATTTGTCCATGCGCTGCGCGAACAAGGCCGCTGATGAAGCGGCTAGACAGATGCGTGCAGTCTTATAACAAGCTGTTCAAGACTCGGTAGCAGGATTCTCATCTCCTACTGCTGCTACTAGGCAGTATGCAACACCCGTAGTTGCAGGTGCACGTGGTCGTCCACGTGCTGATTCATTATCCGTAGCTTCGGCTGGGGGTGGTTGTCCCATGGACGTCGACCCGAGATAGAGGTGATCTATTCGGGCATATCAAAATCTTCGTCGAACTTGAAGGCGTCCGCAAATTCGGGTCGTGAGGCTGTGGGTGCGAAAATGATAACGGCCAAACCTCGTGGTAGTCTTGACGAGGCTCTGCGTCATGAGAAGTTCGGTTCATCCGACGAGTCTGAACACTCGTCGCAGAGATCCAACCGATCGCGCTCGCATTGCTATGATGCGAGCGCTAAGCATGTTGACGTTGGTAATCACGATGATTTCGAAGACTCTTTGCGGAGTTATCGTAGCCTTAGCAATCCCAGTGATTGCGGCGATCATAGTTCCAATAACTGCGTCGGCACTACGCTAGTGGAGCAGGATCATAACGCTTTATAACCTGCTTCTGAGGACAAGCCCTGGGTGCCTGCTTTAGACACTCTGAGGGATTGGTATGGGTATACCTGTTACGAGTTGTCGAATCTTACTCTTTGACTCGTTAAGCACCCATCATCTTAAAGTCAGCGCGAAGAACTATTGGACTGAACATGAGTTTTTCATCGATGTTTTTTCAGAATTCGATGGTATCGCGGTATTCGCAAGCGAGACGAGGTTTCGTCGGTCCAGGCGTGGACTAAGTTCATTGGAAACATCGATCATGTTGGCCTTGAGGCTTGGATTCACAAACTTATTGCAGCTCGCAATAACTTTGACCAGAAGTCACTAATCGTGTATGTTTAGGTTGCACCGACTGTCTCGAAATAAAGGTGTACCTTGTCTCTCGTGGAAGAACAACTGTCAGAACTGTATCGACAACTTTTTTTGCGCTCCGAGTGAGGCCTGCCTTCCTAATCATCCCTACTGGAGGGCGCTCATGTCGTTCGGGATGCGTCAAGAAATTGAGACATTGCAATTCCTTTAAATAACGGCCGGGCGTTCGTGCGACGATGGCCCTACACCATCAGAGCGTGCGTTTCGTCGTAATGCTCGACGGGACAGGGCACATTCATCATCAGCAGAGAGCGGAACTCCCAGCTGTTCCACAGGAATGGATACCCCGACAATGGACGAGGTAC